TGGTTCCATAGGGTGCTGCATCACCAGGCACAGCTTTTCAGTCATTCAGTCCAGTGTAGGTAGGAGCTGCTCACATCTGAGGTAACTCAGTAACTCAAGTAACTCCGTCCTCAGAACAGAAATGCTTTCAATAGGGCTAGGAGCTAGAAAACCTGACCTGCTATCCAGGTGAGAAGACAGTGTGCTCCACAACAATTTAGGCTTGCCAGACAGTTGTTGCTATGCTTGATATCCCTCTGTTCCCATGAAGTGCAATCAACACTGATAGCTCATCCTGATGACACTGTTAAAATTGTTTTATCCCTGAGTCCATTTATCAGTTTTACTTGTTTGCTGTGGTTGTGTGATCACTTCTGACATTTGCTCACTGCTTTGAAGGCAAAGGTGTAATAATTGTATATCTATAGTGAGGTGTAAAGGCACATTACTGTCTAACTAAAGGTAGCTAAGTTCTCCTGTCCTTGGAAATGTGCATGTACACTTGAAAAACAGTAGGCTCTTTTTCAAGAGTAGGCTTTTTATAACAATGGAACCCAAATTAATGGACAAATAACCTCAACACAAACAACACTTTTTGACTCTGATCTTATGGGAAATTTCATTTTGCTTACTGTCTTACTAAAACATAGGAAGGAAGAGCTCTAGAGTTAACACTGCCTCATTGTTCCCAGATATGGTCAAAATGGAAAGACGCATTACAGCAGGTCAGATCTCTGCCTGTCATTCCATTAAAGTGGCATATTTCTGCCACTTGTCAGGTATGAAAAGCACAGTAAAAATTTTCAGACTTTCTTTGTGGCAATACTGCCTGTCAGCATCAGTATGTTATGGAAAGATCTAATAGACTCATAAAATATTGTGGCTTTGAGCTGTAGATGAGGTAATCTGTACTTTTGTGATCTAGTTTTTTTATTTCTTTTCTCATTTGTAAATAAAGGTGAATAAGTCCTTTAGTCTGACATCCTGGTCAGACTGAACTGACCAGATGGCAGTGGATTCAAGTGTGGGAAAGATATGCTCCTTACAAGTATTAATTGGACATGGTAGTTTTCTTTCAGTGCTGCCAAATTCGTGATAGCTCTTTCTCTCACTAAAAGTGCAAGCATATCCTCTTAGCTTATATTTTTCAATGCCTTTTTAAAATTAAAGCTCACAGAGGCAGGAAGGTAGATTTAAAAATGACTAAACTGCTGGGCTTAGAGGGTTGTGGTCAGCAGCACAGAGGCCAGCTGGAAGTTAGTTGCTATTTGGGGTACCCTGAGGGTACTGGGGCTAATCCTGTTTAACCTCTCTCTGAGTGATCTGAAGGTTGTGGGATGGAGTGCAGTCTCAGCAAGTGTGCAGATGATACCAGGTGAGGAGGAGTGATACACCAAGTAGTTGTGCTACAATACTTTGGCAGGCTGGTGAAGTGAGCAGGGTGGAACCTCATGAAGTTCAGCAAAGTGCAAAGCCCCGCACCTGAAAAAGAACAACCCCATGCAGCAGCAGTACAGGCTGGGCAGAGGCTTCCTGGCTGGAAAGCAGCTCTACAGAGAAGGATCTTGGGGTCCTGGCAGTCGAGCTGGCCACAAGCCAGCCCTGTACTGTCACAGCAAAGAAGGCCAGCAGCATCCTGGGCTGCACTGGATTAGCATGGTCAGCAGGTCACTAGAGGTGACCCTTCCTTTTCACTCTGCAGTGGTGAAGCTGCATCTGAAGAACTGTGTACAATTCTGAGCTCACCAGTGTAGGAAAGACATGGGTGTCCTCATGAGAAAATTGTCATTATTGCTCTAGAAATACCACTGTGGTTCATACCAACTTTATATTAGCCAGTTAATGGCTTTAGTGCTATCTTCCAAAACTTTACGAAAAATCTGAAAGAGCAAAAAATTTATAGTTGCCTATTTGTTATAATGATGACTGATGCAGTGGAAAAAAATTGTCTTTATATTTGCATTCAAAAAATAACTCCCCTAGGCAGAAGGAAAAGTAAAATTGCCAATGGTGATTTAATTTGTCAGTTGGCCGTATAGGTCTGTACTTCAAGTAAGCCTGCTGCTGACCAGCAGATTTCACATTTATTTTGAAAGCAGATACATTTTAGTTATGTTCCCTCTAGATGTTCTCTTAATTAATTGGAAATATCCAAAGAGTTAATTAAAAACACAAACTTTATTTGATTCTATATCAAACCTGACATTATGATCTTTTTATCTACAAAGCAAGAATTATGTGGGATCAGAAATCTGAATTATTCATGATGGTTTCCAGCTATTTTTTTCTCTTCTCCTTTGTTCAGTGTAAAATTTTATAAGCTTTTCTTTCAGTCAAGGTGAAAGCAATATTAAGTCTTGGAAGTCAAACTTACGAAAGACATGTAGCTCTGTGAAATCCTTGCCCTGTAATCCTGGCTTTCTATTCACCACCACTATTCAATATCCCACTTTCTGTATAAGCTTCACAATGTATCAGCAGTTGATGAGATTTATTTGTTATACTCCTGTTATACTGTTATACTTCTGTTTTCCTTCTTCATAAAAAAGCTTTATCCATCACTTGGCTCCCCTGGGAGTAACACATGTCTGTGATTGTTTCTGCTGGGCTTGCTAATCCAGCAGCTCCCTTCGACATGCTGGACAGTTGGTGCAGGGTGGAGAGTGAGGGAAAGTGAGTTGTACTTGTTAAGATTTAGGACAGCTGTGTAGTGTGTTGTGAATTTTAAACACATTGTTAAGATCCAGTTCAATAGTTATGAGCCAGCGTGGTCGATTGTATGAATAGAAATGCTGTCAGGTCACTTCTGAGAGATGCTTTATGAATTACAGCTTGACTGTAGTATGTTGGACCTCTCAAAGGTTTAATAAACAGAGGCATTTTGAAGACATGACAACAGATGAGACGAAAGTTGAGTCTGATCTATGCTAATGAGTCCTACATTTGCTATTTCAGTGTTGCTCCTGATGCCTGTAGCAGTTCCATGTATGTTTTTCTTACAGCCTCTTACAGACTTCATCTGTGGTGATATTTTCTCTTAAATAAATACATTTCTGAGTAGAAATGTAAAAGCTTTCTTATTTGTTGTTAGGGTTAAAACCACAATTGTTATTCTTAAATAAGTTGTCTCTAACCTGCCTTTAAGGTGAAATTAAAATGTACAGAGAATTCAGTATGCAAATAGCATGCACACCAGATGATCTGAAGGAAGCCTGCACATTTCCACAGAAAACAAATGTGAGTGTAGGAAAGCAGATGCTTTCTACCAACAGAGTGTACATACAGTTCTCAAGAGGACTTGAACAACAGTTTATTTTCAGGCTGCTGGAAGTATGCAAATTCCTACAGAATTAAATGTGAATTTAAAGGAAATGGCATCTATTAAGGACAATACTATCCAAGGAGGCAATTGGGAACTTAATAATTTAATCAAGAACTTGAGCAGGCTCAGCAGTATATCTAAAGTCAGTGACGCAAATGTCATCTGTTTTTAGCAAAGACGTTAAATGGTTATGTTTTCCTTTAAAGTGTGGTCTTTGGAGTGTGTTTCTCTGATCATGGAGTAACTTTGTATGGTTATGTATAGATTTGCAGATGGTTCATCAAAAAGCATCATCTGTTTGCTTGAGCTGCTTGTAGGACATATACTATGACAATACTTGTGTGTGTTGCCAGCGTTATGTTTGCTGGTTTTAACCCAGCAAGCCTGGGTAGAATGGATTGTGTCCTGACATGCATGCAATCAGCACAATTATAAATTAAATTCTTACTGGTGGATGTTGTTCCATTTGATGGCTGTGGGACTGGATGGATGTTTTTGAGGTTATAATCTGAAGGCAGAGGCACAGTTTTGCACAAGTGGCATTGCTGGTGAGTCAGCTGCCCGCTGTGTAGACATGGGAAGTGTTTGTTTTCCTTCCTTGTGCAAAAGCACAGGATTCCTGGAGTGGGGGGGGCACAGGATGGCAGAGTTCAGGCTTGCCAGACCGTGCTGCCTCCACTGTTCCCCATTACCCTCAGAGAATCCAGCTGCTGAGTTCATCCTGCTGCCCTTTTGTCCCTTAGCAATTCCATGTAATGACTGTTTGTACAGAGAGATGCCCAAGTGAGGTCAGCCAGGGCAGGAGACGTTGCTTAGTGGAATGTGCAACATAACATTGAGTGGCAATTTTGACAAAACATTGTAAGGTCAGATGTGTCCATTTAGATGCACCAGAAATGACAGGTTTTCAGGCCTTTTGGAACCTGTCAAAAGGCAATGAAGGTCGCTGCTTATAACTTTGGGAATTTAATTTTAGACATTCATACATGAAAAGACTTGGCCAGGGTTCATGTAGGGAGCTCCCTGTACAACTTGGAGCCTGCACAGCCATGCTGTGCTAGTACAGGTTAATAAATACAGTAAGATATAAATAAATAAATACATAAAGATATAAAGAAAGATATTTATATAAAGAAATATATTTCTAAAGATATAAATAAATAAATACAGTAATAATGATGGGCTGGGTCCTGCACCTCTCCTCTACTTCAGAAACAAGGAACAAACTAAACAGAAGTTTGGGTAGATACCATATTACCTCATTTCAGAGCAGAAATAATAACTGATAACTCAAATTAACCTGGTCAGCAGGGAGGACACTGACCACAAGAGTGAATTTGCCAGGTAAGGTCATGTCTGCAAGCAGAGTCTTCCCAGCCTTGGGAGTTACTCTTTGTTGTACTCTGCCCGTGTATTTGACAAACACAAAGGACAAACACAAATCTTATCTGTAATGCCACACATCTGCAATACTTGTGCTGCCCATGGATTGAACATGGAAGATGATCAAAATGTTCATTCTCTGTTTGACAAACACAAAGGACTGCATCTTGTCTGTAATGCCACATATCTGCAATACTTGTGCTGCCCATGGATTGAACATGGAAGATGATCAAAATGTTCATTCTCTGTCTCTTTTCCACTAGTTAAGAGTCATCTTCTTACAACTGAATAATGTGTAATGTTTTTCTCCACACAGGTTGTAATCCTCGGCAAACATTCTAGAGGCTATCACTACATGTTAGCTAACCTGGTAAGAACTTTTCTTCATGGAAAGTATAGCTGCATTTTAGAGGGTAAAATATTCTGTTCAGGTTGTGGAAACTTTAATCAGGAAGTGGAAATGCATGGATGAGTACTTGGATTTTGAGAAATTGCTTCAGTAAATACTATAACTGGTATGTCATCTCTACTCAGTTTCTTTTGTCAGAAAATGTCATGTCCTCTACTAATTTTAAAGTAATAATTTAACTATATATTTTTATATCCTCATAAATTGTGACTGTAATTTTCTATAAACATATTTTGAATTTAAGCACTGAAGGAAAAATAATTGTAGCATGCTTCTGTATAAGTGGTAAAAAGCTGCAAATTAGAACAATTCTATCAAGTAAACCACCAAGGCTGTTTAGCCTTTTTTTCTTGTATTTCAGAGTGTAGGATGTGCCTATGTATGTGCTGCCTACCAGAAAGAGGCTGTACATTTCTATCTGTATCAGAGCTTCTTCTGGAGAGTAGGATTGACTTTCAGGGGTGTTTGTGATGCTTTTGAAACACCATCTACTTAAATTCCTTACAAAAAGTCTTGTAATTAATCCTGCAGGAAGACTCATTTTTAGGTTCTACGCCTACTGCAAGTAGAAAAATGTGAGTTTTTCCAAAACTCTCACTTTCTAGTTGGCAATCCTAATTACTCAAAGGTTCTCTGTATTCATTTTTAGGTGTGATTAAAGCAGAAAAGACAGATTTTTAAATATCTTTATTTAGTATAAGTACTGTATGACTTTAAAATGCATCATTTTGCATTATAAGAAGCAGACATGATCTCACTGATTAGCTCGTGCATAGAAATACAGAGATTCTTATTCTAGGTTGCCTTTTAGTATGTGTAGCCATTGACATTCAGATAAACATGACTGCAATCAAGTCATACTAATCAAAAAGACTCCAATTTACTGCCTCAGGTATAAATAACAACAGAGTGGGAGAGACTCATCCCGTTCTGCTTGCACGTGACATGCTGAGTGATGCTGCCTGGCAAGAGATGGAGTGGTTTTCTTTCCCAGCCCTGAACCTCTGTGTTCACTTTGCTGTACAAATGGGATTTGAGGTCCTTGACCGGTTTTTGTCATGATCAGGACAAAAGAGGAAATGGTACTTCAAGTTTCCCTGCTGTTTTCTTTCTGACTGGCAAATATTGCCTACCACATTGCCACAACCCAAAAGGGAAGTTTTCTATTGCAAAGAATAAGAAAATGTTTTAAATTCTGTTCTATGCCACTATCAAAATCCTAATTGTGATAGTAGATGTCTCCTTGGTAGAATATTTTCAGCTAACAAGAGGGACATTAGGCAGTGTGCTTTGCTGCACTTGTAGCAGGTAAAACTGAACCAGAGGAAAGTGGCTTTGGATGGCAATGATTCTTTTTTTTTTCTACGTGTGTCCTCCCAGGGTTTCACAGACATTGTTCTGGAAAGAGTAATGCATGGAGGTGCCAACATTACTGGATTCCAGATTGTTAATAATGAAAATCCAATGGTTCAACAGTTTCTACAGCGCTGGATGAGGCTTGATGAAAGGGAATTCCCTGAAGCCAAAAACTCACCATTAAAGGTATTTATTGTAACCTATCAGTGATGGACATGATATGCTTTTAACAATTCTTTGGGAGTTTTTAACCTCAGATATATGCATGAGTATGATACAGATCCCTAATGAGAATATGTCACAACATTCACTGTCCTTCCAGAAGAAAGAGGCAGAGGTTGTTACACCAAGTGCCCACCGTGGTGGGAGCTCCTCAGAAGCAAAGGAGGAAAAATCACTGTCACTGTGCAGTGGATATAAAAACTTGTAATGTGAACCTCTTGAGTTAGTCTTGGGCTGGATATGCGGGCTAGTTAGATGTGGTTTTAGATGCAAAATGTGGATTACTAGTCCATTTTAATGGTAATAGAGAATTTCACATGCAAAATGAAGTAGCTCTGGATTCGCTAAGGAGCCGCTGCTGCCTCCTAGTTACCACTGGCAGTTACCTCATAATCTAAGCCTCTGTTTTGCACCACTGGCCTTTACTTAAACAGCCTGGCTATTAAAACTGAAACCAATAAAATTTTTCAAAAATTTTTTGGATGAAAGTCCCAGGTTCACCAAAACTGTCACAGATTAGAGGAAGTAAATGCACCTGTTATTAGGAAACCTGCAACCTCTTACTATCTCACCTGGATTTTTTTCTGCCTCAGCATCTCTATCATAGAGGGGAATGCTGTTCACTGTCCTGTGAAGGAGTGCATCAGGGAAATTCTCTCCAGGCACAGAAGTCATAAAATCTTCTAGGAGCACTGCATATTAGTAACATTCCTTCTTTCTCGTCTTCTTTTGGTGGGATCTGTTCTTTTTCACTGCTATCCATAGGTGAATGAAACCTGGCTATGGTAGTATATAGACTGGTTTCTCAGGGCAGCCAAATCTAAAAACCACTGCCCTGACAAGACAGTTCATGGCTTTCATCATGTTTGATTTGGGAAGGACACGTGCAAATTGATGGAACAGATTTGGAATTCAAAATTACTTTGATAAACTGGAGTAATGTGTCGGTATGAGTAAGGCAAAATTCAGGAAAGCATTAAAATACTAGATAGGAAGGTAAAAAAATCCAGTTCAGTTCCATGCATGGGGGACAGCAGGGTAGGAGTAGTAGCCCAATCTCTGGGCTGGGCTAGAGACAGAAAAGGAGCCGCTTACAAGGGTCTGCTCCTTCTGGCAGTGCCATTCATTAATGACTAGTGCCATTTGGTGAGATGCTGTTCCATCCCTGGGATTGTGTCATTTCTGTGAAGGAGGAAAATTTTCTTAATCCCACACCATCTCACAGCCTTTCTGGCATTTCAGAGGAGGCAGAGAAAGGCAAACAGAGGCCCACAAAAACCGGATTAGTGTATTGTTGCCTGTGGATTAGGACTTAGTCCTGCTTTCTAAAGCTTTCTTGCAGTGATGCAGAAGTGAAGATAAGTATCATACTAATCTTAAAAGCTCTGAAATATACAAAGTTAACCTGTGATGATTTTATTCCACTTGAAAGCAATTTACCTTGAGGAAAAAATTATTCTCCCTCCTTAAAAAAGAATCTTAAGTATATGGTAGAAACACAAAGATTACATTACCGTTCCACAAATGTACAGCTCATTATAGAAATGTGCACAGTATTTGTCAATCAGACAAAAAGAATACTTAAGAATTGATGTACAATATTTTTTGATTAGGAAATAAAATTGCCTAGAGATTAAAGTCCTGATGTTTAATTTATTCTGTATTTTATCAGCCTTTCCCTTCTTTCTCTCTTTTTTCTCTTTGCATGCTCATGCATTTATAAGTAGAATTCAAATAAAGTAGAAAATTAGATAGCTCTCTTGGCATGACTTGGAAGGGGCTGACAATTGACGCAGTCTGCTGAAAGAATTATCAGTGTGTAAGTTTTGTGTAGTGCTAGATTGGACAGCTATTACAAGACTTTTTTTAATACAGGAACAAATACATTAAAATTACGGTCCAGTTCTGTATTATTGTGTGGATTGTGATGTATATAACCTTTGTTAACTTTCTAAAAGAGGAGAGAGTGATTATTGCAAAGCATCACAGGGAGAGGTAAAGGTGGGCAGGATCAGAAGAGTGCTTGTGCTGTACAGTCAGAGCAGGAACCACCACCCACTCCCAGTAAGTTTAATCTGTTGTCATTTAAAGCTCAGTGAAATGTCTGCTCTATCACCTTCTTCACAGCCCTAGCTTTGCACTCTTTTTTATGACACAGTTCTCTTGATCTGCACATGCAGACACGCCTTGTTCTGTGCAGGGTTCTTGTGGTTTGGTATCAAACTGAAGAACTTGCAGTAAGATAATACTCCGTTTTTAGAAATGCAGAACCTCCAATTGTGCTATCCTGCCCTACAAGATAGAATTAATTTCTAAATATCATAAATCTTACCCACAAAGATAGCAGCTGAATAAGCAGCTGAAACTTGGATTTCTGCCTTTCTAACTCCCACATGGGCAACAGGTCTTGTGGCCTGAACTCCAGCACAAGGTTCCTTAGGAGACAAGATCTTATGAGATCACAGAGAGCCAAAAGAAGGGCAGGTGCACCTTCTTCTTCTTCTTTTGTTCTCTTACAAATGATGTGGAGGTATTGAGGTTCACTTACAAGGGACTTGAAATCTGCTCTTACAGACGGAGCATGTTCAATTGCTCCCAGTAGGTTCATGCTGAGAGGGTCTCCTTTACACAGACCCTGAAATTACAGGTGTGCTGTAATGCCAGTGGAACCCAGGGGTGTCATATACAAAGCCCAGGCCACTCTAGGAGGGAAGAACTTTCAGACCACAGATACATGTGAAAAAACTATCAAAAAAAAATCCCTCTTTGATGACATTTTCTAGGTGATACTAAATTTATAGCACTGGGGGGGTGTCACCAGATAACATGCAACGAGCAGTGAATGAAGTTGACAGCAGCAGGAACATGTAAGTTAAGTTGTCTGGGGATTTTGTTCCAGAGTGCTGCTCCACAGAGTTAACCACCCTCTGCAGATTGATTGTGGAGTAAGGGAAGGCAGATGGTGAATTACCAAGGTGATGTAATGCCTAAAGTGTATTTTGTGATTACTTGCTTATATAGCTGTTTCCTAAGAAAAGTAATCTTATCTATTCCTTGCCACAGATGCTACCTAATCAGGATAGTGATCCAAACAGAAATGATTTATGTTAACTTCAAGTCAAAGCTCTCTTGGCAATCTTGTTAAAAACAAAAAAAATGCCTAATGCAAAAACTCAAATATGAGCTTTCCTTTGGTATCAGTATGGTCCAGCATGGAATTGAAGACATTTGTAGTAAGCTCATCTAGATGAGTAAGTTTCCAATTAAATTTTATGCAGTTGTGAACTAGTATTGTTATTTTGCTGCTATATGCTACACAGAATGAAAATATTTTTAATTTGTTAATTGAAATAGGTGGAATTGCTACAAAGCACCAGCTGAAGGACAGAGAAGCAAGCAAAGGGTCCACAGTTGATAAGACATTTTGGGGTCAAATTTGGTTTCCAAAGTGCAATTCATCTCTCTAGCTTTCTGGAGACAGGAATACTTCAGATTTTTTCTAGCCCCTGTAGTGATATAAACTATTATAAAGAAGGTTCAAATCCACTTACTGATAAGATAAAAAAATATCAGTGTGAATTTGGCTTACTGGATAATTTTGGGTCCATGGAATTTTTGTTTTATGTAGCCTTGCACCTCATCTCTAAACAGTGACCAGCAGATCAGTCACCAGCCCTGAAGAGCAAGCATGATTCTTCTGTTCTAACAAAGAGGAGGACTTGATGTGATAGCTGGGGCAATTCTAAAATTGCAGTTTGTTGCTATATTCTCTTTGTGTCAATTGCAGTACACGTCTGCACTGACCCATGATGCAGTCCTGGTCATAGCAGAGGCTTTCCGGTACCTCCGAAGGCAGCGTGTGGATGTCTCCAGGAGAGGCAGTGCTGGAGACTGCCTGGCTAACCCTGCAGTGCCATGGAGCCAAGGAATTGATATAGAAAGAGCACTGAAAATGGTAAGGGCAAAGATAACAGCTAAAGAGCAAGAGCAGCAGTTCTGTAGTGCTTGTGTCCTGCTCCATGTGCGCAGAGATTCTGTACTCACACAAACAGCTGCAGCTCCTCAGGGGAAACAAAGTAAAAGCAAAGTTAATGATGAACTGTTAACTATGAACTATGAAAATATAGTCAATGGAGGGCAAGGTATAGCATACTAGCTCTCAAAACTTTGGCCAAAATCTCTCTGGTACTGATGCAGCAGCTGCCTGATTGTCCCCACCAGAGCACCTACAATCCCCCAGATCCCCTGTGACACCCCAGCTTCCCAGGAGAGTGAGCATGAGCCATTTTGTAATCAAACACATCTAGGGGGTTTGTAAAGGCAGGGTGAGCCTGCAAATCTGACTAACACAACTAGACTGGGTCTTGGGTACATGTGTTGTAACTCTTGCAGGGATAGATGTGTTTATGAACTTAAATGCATGTGTGCAGTTTTGATAATTTGCCAGTAAAAAGTCAACTCAGATTGGTTTAAAACAGTGGAGAAATTGTTGTTGGTCATAGCAGTACTGATAGATCTCAGCACCAGCCTGAACAGTTTAGCCTCCAACCACTTCTGATTCCTGGCATAACCTTACACTCAGCCAGATTACCTTCTGCAGGGCCAAATTTTTATCCTTAACACTAGTTATGGCATGGGATCCTACCTCACTTGTGTCTCTAATATTGTTGATTTTTAACTCTTTTTAGTCTGCTATTTGTGTTAAAGCAAGTGACTACAGGAAAAATTGGATAATGTTTTTGTAGATACAAAAGACAAGATTGCTGCCTTTAATCTGGCTCAAGTAACTCACAAACCTGTTAGCATTGATTATATTAGACAGGCATAGAACTGGAGTGAGTGAGATCAGAATTAAGCCTGTGTTAGATGTAAACAAATCCTAGGTCAATCTTCTTACGCTTAGCTTAATTACTGCTTTTTCTCAGCTACCAAATTGGGAGGATTAGATCAGAATATTATAATGAGCTGTGGATGATTATAATCAGATTTATGACTCTTAAAACTGAGATGGTTCAGTCTCACATAAAAAGAGCCAGAGATCTTTTTTATGCCATTTTTTCACCTCCTAACATATGCCCTTACTGCACATTCATTAGTGTAGCATTGCACACTTTTGAAGAGAAATAACTAAATTCAATCTTCACAATAGTTAAAGAATTTGTACTGTACTGATATATGAGGTATTCATATCAATAGAGAAAACCAACACTGCAATAGGACACTCCCTTATTTAGGAGAACTTATTAAAAAACATATTAAAAAGATATTAAAAGGCCTGATTGGCAAAAAATGCAGAAGATTGACTTTTAGCTGGTTGCCTTGAACTTTTTTAGCTATTCAGAGTCATGTAAGGGCGGTTTTCATACACCTCAAACAAGAGCTACCCAAGATCATCCCACATGGCCTTCCAGTACCCCTCCTGTCCATCACCTTATCTCCTTCTATTCAGACAATGATCTTGAATCTTTGCTCAGGAAAGAAAAAAAAAAAAAAAGAAAAAAAAAAATTTAATATTTTTTCCTCTCCATTCTGTAGCATCAACTCAGATAAGAATGCCTTTTCCAAGATATCCTTGAAATATCTATCCTGTGGCAGCTGGAAGTCCAGTGCCTCACTATAGTCATCTTGCTGGCAGGATAGTTAGGCATTACTTGAAACTTCTTCCCATCAGCCTTGAACACTGTGCATATCTTTGTTTCTGAAGCTGGTTCTAACACATCTGGTCAGTGGCAGACAGTTTACCTGAACAAATCTGGACACTTACAAATAGTCACTCTGCAATTGCCTCCACACGCTGCCACCAAAAGTGTTTGAGTCCTGGCAAGCCTTCCTGTCTCAGTGCAGCCAGGTTTTGCTAAGTCCTGAGTTGAGAAACAAATTAAATTTGAAGCCAAAAGGTGTCCAGTGCACGAAGTTCATGTCTCAATGGGCATCAGGATGGAGCCAGTGTAACAAGCTCTGTGAGACACCCGGTCACTGCTGTGCTAAGGTAGCCAGACAGCTTCCAGTAAATGCCAGAGGCAGGCACAACTCACATCTGGATGCAACTTATGTGTCAACTACCCTACAAATACATTTGCTCAGTCCACAGTTGATAAGACCTCTTGGGGTCAAATTTGGCTTTCAAAGTGCAATTCATCTCTCTAGCTTTCTGGAGACAGGAATACCTCCAATTTTTTCCAGCCCCTGTAGTGATATAAACTATTTTAAAGGTTCAAATCCACTTACTGATAAAAAGAAACTCTCTATGTGGCAGTGTGAATTTGGCTCATTGGATAATTTTGGGTCCATGGAATTTTTGACTTACAATGCCTCATACCTCTCTCTAAACAGTGACCAGCAGATCAGTCACCAGCCCAAAACTAGCCTTTGACTAGTCTAGCACCTCTTCCTGTAACTTCTACAGTTTTTGCTAAATATTAAAGCTAATTTTCCCCTACTGAAGTTTGAAACTGTTACCTTTTCTGCCTGAGATGACAGCTTGTCAGTGTTGATCAGTGATAAATGAAAATGCCTCATCCTTTCATACAGGGAAATAAGAAAGGCTTTTTTTTTGAGACAAAGTACTTTATACTTCCCCTTCAGATGATTCATGTGAGTAGGTAATGATAATGACTTACCGTCTGTACACCCATCCATCCTGACTGAGACCAAAACCCCATAAGCAGTAGAGACAATTGTCTGTGCTCATTCAGAGAAGACATTCGTTCCTTTCTCCTACACTGGGACTGATCTTAAAATAAAGCACTTCCCAGAATGAACAATGAGATGCCATTCTGGTCTGAACTGCAGATCACTCTGTGCCATATTGTGAGGGGTTTAACTGCACTAATTGTTGCTTGTGCTTCGCTGATGCTCCATTCTGTACCAGTGAACCCAGCGTGACTAAGCATGGCAGGATCAGTCTTTCTTACATGTAACATACCTGCAGGGCTAATTTCATTTAAATGCAACTCACTCTGGCTCACTCTGAGTCACCAGTTGAGTGCTAACAAATATTTACAGCTGGAACTCAGAGAATGGGGACTGGAGTTGTTTTGAACAGTACAACTGGCTTCGTCAGAAGCAGTACAAGTCTCTTACATAGATAAAAAATAAAGTGAGTCTTTTATTAAAATACTTTTCTGTTTATTCCCTCAAGGTGCAAGTTCAAGGAATGACAGGGAACATCCAGTTCGACACCTATGGGCGGAGAACAAATTACACAATTGATGTGTATGAAATGAAAGCTGCTGGATCAAGGAAGGTGAGTTTCAAGACATGGATCCAGATGTAACACCATCTCAAATATTTATTCCAACAAATCAATGAAATTCAAAAATTCCAGAGATGCAGTGTAATGACAGGGTTCTGAGGAGTGCCCCGTCCATGCTGTCTTCCCTATCCCAGGAACCTTGTTGCATTCAGTTCCTGGACTAAACCACTCACCCTGTTTAACATCTTCTCAGGTTTCCATGTCAACTTCAAAGACAACTCTTTCCCTTAAAACCCTTCTGGAGCTTTTTCACTGCCAAACATAATACCTGTTGTCATGGTCCTGTGCTTAGTCCTATCTTCTATATTCCTCTCCATCTTTCTCTCCCTCTCCATATTGGGCTCTAGAGCCACAGTGAAGCTGGAACCATTGAAGCCTTCTGGAATTTACAGAAATTATGTTTAGTTTTGTTTAGAATTTCATAATAATTCTCTTGTCTCCTAAATAAAGTATAGGTCCTAAGTGGGATAGTTGCCTAGATCAGTGTTACAAAAGAAGTTTAAGGAAGGTGTTCAAAAACATTAGGTAGACAGGGTGACAAAAGTACTGAGAGAAGAATGTATGTAGGTGAGTCTCTTAAATCCCCAGATTTCACCTGGACGTAGGTTCTTAACTTGCTTGATCACCACTGAGACTCCTTAAACAATTCTGCACATTTGATAACCAAATACCTCTAAACATGGCCCAGAAGGTGCAGAGAACAGTGATACTTTGTGCCGTGCAGAAATACAGAAGCTATTGTGATAGCCCAGTGATGGGCCAAAGGCCAGCACCAGCCAGCTGATAAGGTCACCTCGTGCTCACAGAGGGTTTTGTGTCCCACACTGGAGATAATGCAGCTGTGCCTGCATTGCCAGTGATGTCTGTGCATCTAAAGCCAGCTCAGATCTGCAGGGGCTGTCTTGGATAAAAATCACAAAATCAGAGAATTTTACTCAGAATGCTGTGCAGTTTCTTTTCTTGTCTGTAGTATGTTCTTATGCTGTGGATATATGGGAATTTATTCCACAGGCAACATACTGATGTGAATTGAGATAGGGAGAATTTAATGTGTTTTCACTTAGATTTGGCTTGTGCTGAATTGCTCTTGGGCTTAAGAACATGGTTTCTTTAAGAAAATGGATGTAAAGCTAATGTAGACCCTTAATGACAAAAGCAGTGAATGAGAAATATTACAAAGCCTTAGGTTTTGTAAGTTGCTCTTACAAGTTCAGGTATCAGAGTCCTTGTAAAGGTATGTAATGAGGTAATCTCCATTTTGTAGGCTGGTTATTGGAATGAATATGAAAGATATGTGCCAGCACTAGATCAGCTGCCCTCTAATGACAGTTCATCTGTGGAGAACAGAACTATAGTAGTCACTACCATCTTGGTAAGTTTTATGTTCGTGGTGTGTTTGTGTTTAGGAAACAAGGCACATGACTCCTGAGGTGTGTTAAACACCTTGTCAGGAGGCAGATGTTGAATGCTGTGTGAGTTCAAGTGACTGGAAAGTTCAGTATCTTCCAGAGATGTTCTGAGGGCTTGACGCTGCTGACTGATGTATGTATCAGTAAGTCTGCTCACAGGAGGAGCTCACTGAGCTCACCATTGTGCTTTGCTGCTTCCCAGACACTTGAACTCAATTAAGTGCCTCATGTAAGTTGAAGTTATTATGCATGCCTATAAATGAGCACAGAGATTGATTGGCTTTGTGCTGTAGAGTCAAATCTTGCACCCCTCACTCAGGTACAGCTCCTGTAAACTCAACCCCTGTGGACTGAGTAAGGGTGGCACAATGAAGCCTGTAGAGGACTGGAACTGCTCTAGCACTGGGTGAAAAGCAGCCTTTTCCTGTGCAATTCCAAAGGAGCAAAGCTCTTCCTGTGTGTCACGAGCAGCAGCACCTGTGTCAGTCCCAACACCTCTACAGACCTGCTCTGTACAGCATTCATTGGGACTTCTGTGCTTTTTGCAGTTCTACTAAGCATGAGTTGATTTTATGCTGTTTCCTGAAGCATTGTATTTTATACTCCTATGGTTTTAGTGAGATATAATCAGCATTTCAACTAGAATTTTCCAAGAAGGCTAAGGGAATTCAGTGACAAAAAATGCTGCTGAGGATTTCAACCTAGCTTCCCTTAGGCTTCTTTGAAAATATCTCCATCAGAGCCCCATTCTTGGCCACTGGGGCCTTAGGAAATTGTGGTGATGGTACAGGTATTGGATATGTCAGTCTTTAAACACTAAAATTTGAATTATTGCTACAATGATGCTACTTGACTGTCTAATCAGGCCTAAATCTGCAAACAGATGTGTAACTTTGTTAAAAAGTCCTGTTGTCTTCAATGGCTCCTTACTAGGAATACAGTCAACAATATGTGTGGCTGTAGGATCAGCCAAGGAGTTTTATGCTGCAGAAGTCTGTCTTTCTAATTTCTGTACCAAAGCAGAAAATATTGTAAATATTTGCCAGTAATATGAAGGATAATAACAGCTCTCATTTTGTGTGGTTTACAGCTGTATTTTACATTCATAGACTTTTGATCTTTACTTTTGTTTCAAAGGAATCACCATATGTAATGTATAAGAAAAACCATGAACAACTAGAAGGGAATGAGAGATATGAAGGATATTGTGTAGACTTAGCTTCTGAAATAGCAAAACATGTTGGAATAAAATACAAACTGTCAATTGTTGGAGATGGGAAATATGGAGCTAGGGACCCTGAGACTAAGATATGGAATGGCATGGTGGGTGAACTGGTCTATGGGGTAAGTTTCTCTTAACCTTCATTTTAATGTTCTTTATTAAAAAATATGCTCAAAGTTAATAAACTGCAAAATAAAGATCATCTGTTTGAATACTACCTTTAAAATTCTAGATATTTCTTTGTATTGCCATTTTTATAGTCTACTTTTCTAATTGTTTCATTGCAGGAAAGTGTCACTTTTTTACTGCTGTTCTCCAAATCAGAGTGCACAAAATGTTGAGAAGTAGCATTGGGCAAACTTCAAATTCTTGTTTGTAGCAGAATTTCCAGTCTGCTCTTTATATGCTTCTTCTTCATTTGCCAGATCTCCTTTTTCTGTATCAGTCTCTTAAGTGGGGGGTGTCCCTCTCATTAAAGGTCTGATCTGGGATGCTGAGCCTTGCTGGGTCACTGATCTTGGTTTGTGTTTGACCAGACCCATTTAACTCCATGGTTACTTTTCAGGGTAAGAAACAATGCAGGTGTGAAATCACCCACGTGTTTTTTCTCTTTAAACCCTGGGTTTGGCTTCAAAAATCAACAGTCAGACAGAAAAAAAAAAAAAAAAAAAAACAGCTAATTCATTGCATTCTTCTTTATGTTTCTATATTGGGTGTACATCACTTTGTTTAGTAAGAACAAAAACAGTCCGGAACTGCCATTTTAGAACCCTCTTTGAAAATGAGAATTTTGGACTACTGTTAAACCAGATGGAAGGGGGAGAAAATTGGCTTTGCAGAAAAGACTTCTCAAGCTGATATTTCGTCTTTTTTTCCTCAAATGCTAATGAGATGATTTGTGATTCCGCCCAAATCTTTTTTGCAGTTTATTTTTAACAAGCTTCCCTTTATTAAAAATATCTGAGCAGAAGTGCATATTTCAATTGCATCCTTTTGTTCTGTGGCTGAGTGTAATTTCTAAAAGTCACCTCAAAATTTCCTTGGGATGATGCATCATCATTCTTGCAAAATGCTTGGTGAGATAATTCTTTTCAAATAAATCAGTCTTTTTTTGAGGATTGCTAGATTTTCACAAGTTTTCTTACTCTGGAGCAGTCAGTCCTGATGCCTTATTATGTAATTGGTAGCCTGTTCAACTTGAAAATGTTTTATAGAAATAACAATGTACTGTGGCAGGGAGGGGAATCTACTGATTACAGAAATTAAACAGGGTTCTGGACCCTTGGATTACTTCTTTGCTTCCCTGTTGCTTTGAGGTTTGCTATTATGCAAATCTTCTAAACTTTGCATGCCTCAGTTGTGCAGTTTGGGAAACTGAAGTTCACTCTCTCAGAGAACACAAGTTCATTGAGAACCTCTGAAGCAAAGGTTTAGTTTAGTTCCAAGCAAATTACACTGCACTGGAAACCTATACCCTCAGTTGCTCTGTGCGTGGTTCAAGGAATATCAAGAGTATCAGCTGTAATTGGGTCCTTTTGATGTACTTGCAAGTGACAAGCAATGAAACTTGTTCATTCGCTTATAAAATAACCATACCATGTGGAAAAAGCATGGCAAAAGAGAGCCTGAAATTGCTGCTAACAGTCAGAGCACAGGGGCTGTGTACACTAGGGGAGGAAAGGTGTGACATGGGCTACAACCTTTGTGTCTTGAGCCCAGTAAGATTAGTCTGTGCAGCTGCCATACAGGATCCACCTGCAAAAAGGACCTCGAAGATGCTCTGAGGGCTGGAGCACCTGTCCTGTGAGGAGAGGCTGAGAGAGTTGAGACTCTTCAGCCTGATGAAGTGAAGGCTCCAAAAATACCTTAGAGCACCTTCCAATACCTAAAGGGGCTATAAGATAAATGGAGAGGGATGTTTTAAAGGGTCATGTAGTGATAAGACAAGGAGGAATGGCTTTAAACTGAAAGAAGGCAGATTCAGATTAGATATTAGGAAGAAATTCTTCATTGTGAGGGTGCTGAGGACCTGGCCCAGGTTGCCCACAGAGGCAGTAGATGCCCCATCCCTGGAAACATTGAAGGTCAGGCTGGACAGGGCTCTAAACACCCTGATCTAGTGGAAGATGTCCCTGCTTACTGCTGGGAGGTTGAACTAGATGATCTTTAAATGTCCTTTCCAACCCAAACCAGTGTGTGATAAGCAGGCTGGCTGCAGCTGCCTTTTCCACAGCCTCTTGGGACCAGCCTAACTCAAGAGAGCTCTGCCTCCTTAGCATCAAACTTAGCCCTAATCATACTTGCGACCTTTCCACACCAGCAAAACCAGCCCTGCAGGCACCACAGACCATTCCTTAAAACAGCCCCAAACCCACCCACCATTCTCCTTTTCCCCTGCAAAAAGGTCAGTGCCTTTGTATTCTGAGCACAGTTTTCATCTGTGTTTTCTCGTTAATGAAAAATTGAGGAATGTTTCCCTCCCTGACCCCCAGCAGTTCCTGTACTCATGCTGTGAGCTCTGTTACTGAAGCCTCTCCACTGCAATGCTCAATTATTCAAAGGTCAGATGTGTCCCGTGAGGTTTGAGTGCAGACCCAAGTTAATGCTTCCAGCCCCGTGCTGCTCAGCCAGCTCCCCAAACTGCCCAGCTGAACTGAGCTTGCAAGCTGCATGGAAATCCACCTGGCTTTCTGGAAGCAGGGAAAATAGCCCCTGAACTCTGAGTGCAAACCTCAGCAACCCTTCAGACCTTTTCCCAGCTCTATTTGCAAACATTGTGAAATACCCTTGGCCTCTTTCTCCATCCGTGGAGAGGGGACTGTGTACCACACTCACAAGGATGTGCACTGAGCCCTTTGAAGATGAGAAGTGCTCTAGAAGTGCTGATTATTTGGAGCAAGCGCCTCATTTACCTGCTAACTTTCCTTTATGTCTCACGGGCTTAAAACGCTATTAGGGAGCTAAAACTATGTTAAGATAATGCCCCTGCGAATCTTGTCAGCAAAATTACTCAAATTTGGCTCCTCTGGATTCCATTTTGGGAAGACAAGAGGCAGATTAGATTTTAAGTACCTTTGTTAGCATCTGTGGAAGATAGACTTGGTAGGATGAAAGGGGCCTGATTGGTTTTGGTACCAGTTATCCAGCAGCTCAGCTGAGCTGTGGCAGAAACAATCCTTTAGATTGCATTTGTCTCAAGTGATAAGCAGTGACTAGTCATTTGTCAAATACAGCATATTCCTGACCCAGCAGCCTCCTTGCCACCACCTGGCACTGCTGGGGCACCTCAGCCAGTTTTTTGAATACTGAACCCTTTTTGCATACCCCCATTCACGCAACTATTTTCTAAAATTGCTCTTAGCACAATCATAGGAAATGAATGGCTTGTAATTTTAATGTTAAAACCCTAATTAACTGTATTTAATGTTAGGTTGTGCCAGTTCATTGTTACTATTGCTGTCAATTCCTGTGGAACGCAGCAGGGTCAGGGGAGAAAGGGCAACCTCCAGACTCTGCATGGAGGGGAGGGGCCCCAGTCTGCACTGAGCTGCACCCAAAACTCCAGGGGTGCTGTGTCACCGTCCTGCAGGTCTGGAGGGTGCCACAGCCCTGACTCCCGTGAAGGACTCGCTGGAGGTCGGCATTAGCTGGGCTGACTGGAGCAGTCCCTAGAGTTACACATTGACATTTACACACTCAAATGCTTCCCATTAGAAATGCTCCCTCCCCTGTCTCACATCACGTCAGGTCTGGTTGGAGGGCATAAAAGTCTGCTGCGCTGGAGGGTCCCTGAAGTCAAGGACATTTTCAGCTCTGCCCCTTGGGCCTTGTGGCTTTGCAAGAGGCTATGCCCATGCACTTGGTTACAGAGGGATGGCAGCCCTGGAGGCAGGGAATTCTGCCTGAGCAGATATTCCCAAACTCCTCTGCTTCAGGCAGGAGAACCCAGCAGGCTTGTTGGAGAGGGAATAACAAAGCTTTGTGGTTTAGCAATTTTTAAATGTTAGTGATAGTAGTAGTATTAGTAATGATAATTGTAATATTAATTAATAATAATAATGAAATTTTGTATAAAAGGAAATGTATTTGATTTTTCATAAGTCAAAAAGTGTCAGTTCAGGCTGAAAAAAAAAACCCTTAATTTTCCTCTTTCACTCAGATGGTGTAAAGATAAAATTCTTCATCCTACCAGATACCCATTCAAGCACTGTTATTTTTTTAAACTAAGAGAAATTTCCAAAGAATAGTGGAAATTTTCAACAGAATAAAAATAGAAAATAGGTAAAACTTTTTCCCTGGACATTTCAGAAGGGAAGTAGCTAAATCATTCTTAGTCCAGGAAACTGAATTGCTATTTAAATCTAACCAGCAGAGCAGTCCAGCAAGGCAAGTGCTGTCCTGCAGTGACCCAGGGGCCGAGGAGCAGCAGCACCTCCCTCGGCCCCTGTGCTCGGGGCTTTGTACCCACCAGCTGCTGAGCACTAGACAGTCGTCTTTTCTCTTCTTTGGGGTCAGCCTCTTTCTGTAGGCTTTTATTTCTTCTTCCCTTTTTAAAGCAGGCTGCTGTTCTTCCTTCCCTGTTCAGCCAGGGGAAGCCATCCCTCCCCAGACCTGGTGCTTTTCACAGCGCTGAGGCTAATTGACAGTAGTTTTAACACAGATCTTAATTGTAACTACAAATGCTTTGGGAATGACAAGAGCAGCCAGACCTTACAGCCTTTAAAACTCTGCTCAGGTTGAAACAAGCCTTTATAAAAACCTCTCAATATGTAAAATAGCACAAAGGAGTGAAGCAGGGCGGTAAGGGACAGGCAGTCCCCAGAACGCAGCAGCCTCCGCAGTCTGTCAGAGTGGGACTGCCGACACATCTCCTGCCTTGAGCAGACTGACCCGCCGTGTGGGGCTGGCCTCTCTGGCTCTAGCAGCAGTGTGCAGAAATACTAAACGTGGCACATACGGCCTTTGAATCGTAGCAGAGAGGCAGACTAATTTGATCCCTACTTTTCCTTAACTCTCCCACATGCTCTGAGTCTGTGGCAGAGCCTGACTGTGCCATGAGTGGGTGAAGTTTCTCCTTTGCTTCTCACTCCTGGTTTCTGCAGGGGGAAAGCCCAGGTCCAGGCCCCCAAAGGCAGCTGATGCTGCTGCCCTGCAGCTCAGACAGACCCTTGTCCTGTACACATGGACAGATGTGGGGTCCCTGGCCAGGCTGAGCTGTGCTGGGGGACAGGACAACAGCCCCAGTACAGAGCCACACTGCCATGGTCCTGGGCTTTGGCTGACCTGAGTCCATGCACAGGCAGAGGAAGCGCACATATGTCCACAGCCCCAAAAGCAGATGTAGCCTTTATGTGTGAATTCCATTAGTGAATGGCAGGAATGTGTCAGAATGAGCTGTGGGCATCCACAGAAATCACAAATGGACTTAAGTTTGACAAACTGTGGCAGACAGGGCCAACTGCCATTTTAACACCTTAATACCTTTTTACACTGCTCAGCTAGGGCACATTAAGACTTCAATGCAGCATGTTACTAGTCAGGTATGACCTATTGGCTTTAAATAAGTGTGAGCTAATGTGTTAAAACCACATTGCCCCCATAACCTGGCCTCTCAACACACCCTGAGTATCCTTGGGGATATTGGACTGCCTTTACAAAGGTAGCTCTTACCAGCCGATACCACAGGTGATGTGTTGCTCTGTCTGATGCTCTTTTCTGGTACCTGGAAACTCAGACTGCACTGAGAAGTGTCAAAACATGCTCTGAGACAGTCAGCATTGCAGTGCAGTCTCTTCAGGTGCCCCTACATTCAGCACTTTTGGGGTGCACAGAGGTTTGGGTGCTGATGGAAGTCGGTCAGTGTCCCTCTGCTACAGTCTGCAGTTGGGGTGCTGCCTGGCTTTCCATTAACACAAACTGACTGCAGTCCAGACCCACTTCTTGAAAAGTGACCCTTAGCAAAGGAGGTGTTCAGTTCTGCAAGCAGGAGTGACCCAGAGCCTGTGCAGGAAGAAGCACAGCCCAGATCTCACTGTCTCTAGAGCACAGCTTTGAATTTGAGAGTCATCAGTAGGTCTGTAAGCAGAAGAATCCCATTCCTCCTTTTGGATTACAGAGGTGGAGCATCTTATCATTTTTCATTCTCCATGTAGAAGGATATTTCCATTTGCTATTTTTTTTCTCCCTCCCCATAAGAGTCTGGAGGTTTGCAGCTCCCTGGGGTCATCTTTGAGCAGAGTGGGCAGCGCCTCTGTGCTGCCTGTCCTCTCTAAATCCATCCCTCCCACACTAGTAGGCAAAGACAGAACAAGCCTCAGAGGAATCCATGACATTTCTTGCCCGGCTCAAATGCAGTGAAGATGATGTTTGAAACACCATTAGTCATGAGTGATTAGCAAAGCTCAGTTGTTGAGGTTCTTAAACCCCTCTCCAGTTCTGTATGAAGAAGGGCATGTTTGTGGTTGTGTTCTTTTTAATCGAGCTCAATTTGTATGGGTTCTGCTTATCTGCAGCCATAACAGGGAGGGAAATTCTCAACAGTGCTGCAGTTATTAATGATCCTTTAGGGTGCTTAGAGCTCTCCATAAGCTCTCCATTTCAAATACTGTATCTGTAAATAAATAACCAAAGAGAGAACTGTTTTTAACGTCCCTAGTGCAACTAATATTCAGGGAAGTAGTGAGCAGCCAGGTTTGGGTGTTGGATTGGAGCTGGTCCACTCTCAGTGCCCTGGTTTCCCGAGACCCTGTGTGGCCATGCTTGTTCCCTCTGCAGAAACCATTTGTTCACTAAAGGATAAGGGTGGATTTTGGTGTTTCCAATACAGTGAATGCCTTTGGTAGGGATAGTAGGAAAGCAGGAAGACTGAGATGTATCAGAAAATTAGTATTTGTATCCCATTTAATATTATAAGGCAGTTTTAAATTATTTACAGAGAAATCTGCCTTGTTTGATATGAACACAGTAACAATCAGGGCTTTAACAAGTGATTTGTCTGTGCTTCAGCATCAGCTTCATCCCCCCACAGGAACATCCTGCATGAACTCAGCTGGGCATGGAGGAGATACAGACCTTATTGCATGCTGCATCAGCACTTAGGAAGAGTTCCACCATGTTTACTTTGGCAATTAAAATATTACTTTGGGAGAATTAAAATTCTCCAAGTCCATGAAAATGCTCCAGAAACTAAATGCTCTTACAGCTGAAGCAGCCTTTCCCTCCCTTGACGGGGTGTTCCAAGGCTGACAGTCCATGTGCAGAAGTGCCTGGCAGGAAGGCACCTGCCTCCCACCTAAGCTTTGCTTCACATGAAGCCATTGCTAATTCTCCACAGGGGTCCTGATCCATTAAGCTTGCTCTAATAAGGATTAATTTGTAAGTACCTCATTAGTTCAACAGGAAGTACAGTGGCATGGTCAAAGTGCTCAGTCTTCCAGCTGGCTGTGGACTCTGACTACATTTAAAACTGATATTCTGTGTGAATCTCACCCTGACTGCAGACATCTGGTATTTAACAGGAGCTCAACAAGCAGCACCTATAAGAGAAATACGTGTTTTGGGGAAATTCCTCACGGAGCAAATTCCAACATCTTGCAAAGATGTTACCTCACTCTACCCATATCCTCCCCTCCAGTCTCTCCATTACTTAGGTGATGAACACATTCATCTGCAAAGCCAGGAAACATCCAGGCATCCAAAGGCATTTTCAGTTTTTATATTCAAGCCACATTCAGCTAGATTTTTGCAGTAAGTGACCACAAATCAGCTGAGGTTTTCTCCTTGAGGAAAGGGCCACTCAAGGGGAAAGGCAGTGTCCCAGTACACATGACTGTCAAAAGGGACTGAGCAGGGCTGTCAGAGGGGGCACCCAGGGCCATGATTTCCAAGTGGCTTCCTTACATGCCCAGGCATGGTTTTATCAGATTATTCCAAGCAGTGAACTTGTGCATGTACCTTGTAGCTGCACATGCTGGTATGCACTGTTGAGAGATATCCTTGTGTGGCTGGAGCAAACCTTGGGGTTGTGTGTGCAGATGGGTGCCCTGCAGAGAGAGGCAGCTGTGGGGAGGGCCAGCCCTCATCTGACAAGGCTGTCACTGGCCTTGGTCTGCAAACCCTGAGCAGTGCTCCAGGATGGCTGCACGGTGCTCTGAGCACCAGCAGGCACCAAGCCCATGATGCTCTGATCAGCTGTATGAGAAGCCTTTGCCATTTCTGCTTATCAAATGTAAAAACCAAACCAATAGCTAGAAGGAGGAGCAGACCAGATATTAATGACAGTCACGTACATCACCATAAGATTTACATAAAGGCATATTCAATTATTTTATGGCACAGATTTTAATCATATCTTATTAACATTTCCCATTAACTTTTATTCAAACTTCCACTTAATCAGGCTTTATTTTTCCACCAGAAAGAGATGCCTGTTTACTAATGGGGAAAAAAAATCTGATTTAAAAGATGCACAGTGGTTTACGTACTGATAAGTCAAGGTTTCCCTAAGAACCATTTTTTCTTTCTGAAATTCTTAATTACCAATGAAAGACCATCTTTAAAAATACAAATAACATGAATAGTTAGAGTTAAAAATAGTGTATGTAGGTATGTAGACTCTCATAACACTCTTCAAATGAAAAGGACTCTTTTTAGCATTCCGTTCCATTCTCATTCAAATACACCTGCTTGAGTACTTGGCTGGATCAAGGCTAGGGTATCTAAGTAGCATGACTTGAATCTTTGTAGCATAGAAATACAGGTACAGTTAAATATGTTGAAAATCTATTCTGGAATGTTAATTTTAATCAGGAAACTAAGTAATTTGTTTTTACATGTCTGCCAGCCCATGGAATCCAGCAAGGATGTATAGCTTGAAGGGAAGGTGAATGATGAATGATGCAATAGATGCAATTGTGCTTCCAGGTGTCACAGCCCCAGAGCACAGTCTGTTACCAGCCTGTAGAGCCAAGCTCTCTAAGACAGGAGGGCAGACATGGCACTGCATTCTCCTCAGATTATCCAGGCTGTTTACCCCTCAGGGATTCAGAAATCTGTGTTAACTGTTTTTCAGTGACCACAGAAAGGGTCTGTCTGATTCCTATCCCCCTTCTGTCCCTTACTGCAGTGGAGTTTTGAAGGAGCTTACAAGTAGCAGCACCCAAGTGCAGCTGAAATTCAGTAATGGATTACTTCTCATGGGCTCCTTTTAAAGACCTTGAACTAATCAGTAAAGCGAGAGAACTTGCAGAAAGAATGAAAAAGAGAAAATTAAAACATAGCAAACACAGAATTTGTCCAAAGTCTTCAAGACAAATGGGTGGTTACAGACATTACTAGAAAATGACATTGTGTTGATTGCCATCTCACTGTCCAATTTGTGTAGTATTTATTCATCCATTTTAACTTAATAGAAATATCTGCTGCTCTCATGAGCCCCTTGCACAGATTTGATTGTAATTTTACTTGTTAATAATTTTCTGTTAATATCATGTAGCTCTTAAATTCAGCAACTGCAAAATAGTCTGCAAATAATTTATTTCCACTCACTCTTGTAATTTATCATCTGATTCATTAGCCTGAGACTCTAGATTGTGATTCTGTTGTGTATGACTTGTAACTAACTTGGGTTTGTTTTCCCTTTTCAGAGAGCAGATATAGCTGTTGCCCCCCTCACCATAACATTGGTACGAGAAGAAGTCATAGACTTTTCCAAACCCTTTATGAGCTTGGGCATCTCCATCATGATCAAGAAGCCTCAGAAATCTAAACCAGGCGTGTTCTCTTTCCTGGATCCTTTGGCTTATGAAATTTGGATGTGTATAGTCTTTGCTTACATTGGCGTCAGCGTAGTTCTTTTCCTAGTCAGCAGATTCAGCCCTTATGAGTGGCACTTGGAAGACAACACTGAAGAACCACGTGACCCTCAGAATCCTCCTGACCCTCCAAATGAGTTTGGAATATTTAACAGCCTTTGGTTTTCCCTGGGTGCCTTTATGCAGCAAGGATGCGATATTTCTCCAAGGTTTGTTCCATATCACTCCATCACCTTTTTGCATTTTATGGTCATTTTCTGATACCATGGTGCATATATGTTACTTTCTCAAATTTCTTTTTAATTCCAAATTTTTTATTTTGACATTTCCATTCAATATTCAGCATCCTCATCAAGCCACCATGCTTGCTAACATTTGCCTCCAGAGTAAGTAGCATTGCTTATAATGCCATTTATGCATTTCTGCCAAACTTATATTCACCATGTTGAGGCTGTAAAATGCATAGGGTTTTCTGTTTTCAGCAATGCTTGGAGGGCTACCGTGTTTTTGCTGCATATCTCATTTTACGGTCATCTCCTTGGTGCATATAACACATTCTGCTTTGCAAAATAAGATTTCTTTTTGAAAGTCACATGCAACAGCACTTTAAAGCATCTCCACTCCCATCAAGGCTCCTGCTCATCTTTTTACTTTCTTTTGAGCCTAATTTCTCCAGTTTTGTTCTTTTGAACCATCCTTTCATCCTTCTGTTTACCACCATTTCGCACACGTTCATGTCTCCAGATGTACTGTGCTGCTCTCCTCTGCGTGTGTTATTTCAGTCCAGTCTAATCTGCTGTCCCTCTGTTCATAGTCAATATGGTCTAATAAGCATTGCCAGTTTCCATAAAGATTTTTCTTACTCATGAAGACGTTCTTTCTGGATAAGGCTGTAGTAAAGTATGATTGATATTAGTACCAATTTTAACAGAGAGAACTGCTATTAACTATTGTAGAATTATATTTCTTTTTATAGAAGTATTTTAAAAACCAGATTAAAATAGTAAAGCTCCCTTTAATTTAACAATGCATACCACAGATTTTTTTTTAATAACATTTGTCGTGTTTCTGCATTTACACTGGTAAAATACTTCGGTGATTTGTTTGTTATAAGCAGTAAAATTATCTAGTTTCTTAGTGATGAAGCAATAATTTTGTATGTTATGACAATCATTTAATAACCAGTTTCCAGCTATTTTATTTATTAAAAACACCTGCTGAGACAAACAGAATGAAGTTTTCCATTTTAAAAAGTTGCTATTTAGAGGAAGAGAAAGATCTTTTCCCTAAGTACTGACATTCAAAATGCACCTTGTTGATCTCCAGGTTGCCTTTTTCAATACCTGAATCATTGAAAAGGTGCCAGGTTTTCCTGATCCATATAGCATTAGGAGTCTTGAGTTGCCTCATTGAAGCAAGTTACAAAATTTTTATGAAGTTTCTTGGGAAGGATCATGATTTTGTCTGTTAGAGTACAATAATCATGCTATAAATTTGTGTTTGTTGGTTTCCCCAGTTCCTGGTGTCTGGGTGTGCTGCTCCCTGTGTACTGACAGCTGTTGGTCTCCTCCCCCTGTTTGCACTCCCTGTTTCTGCCTTATGCCTCAATCCTGCACTGCCACTTTGCCCCAGTGCTTGCTGTTAACGGGGATGAGTAGGGATAACATTTAAATTGCTGTTGACCATGTGTGTGCCCAATATAAAGGACCGGGAAATAAGCACTGGGACATCACATGGAAAGCTGCAGGCATCTGTTTCTGCTAGGTCTGGTTATTGACAGTTAAATAAAAGTGCATAGGATTTCTGGGAAGCTCTCATGTGACTCTTTGGCATGGTCAGCCATTTACCTTATATAACAAGTGGAACACACTGGATTTTTTCAATACAACCACAATAAGTGCCTTGGAAATACCTACCAAAAAAAAGGAGAGAGACAGCCCTATATCTATTTATTTTATCTGTCCATCAGAAGCTATTAGCTCAGTATCAATATATGGCCCTCATTTGAAGATGTTGTCCAGTTATTTTGTTATCTTCCATGATAACATTTCAGGCAGTTATATGCATTGTTACAGGAAAAAAAAAAAAAAAAAAGAAATTTAATACTTTGGTTTAAATTCCAGAAACACTGTTCCTTTGGCTGATATGTTGATTTAGGTTGATTAAGATGTCAAATTTCTTTTCTGTAGAAGGGACTATTCCCAAGTATTCCATTCTTAATCCATATCTTTGTAAGGTTACACCATTCACAGTGCATTGACTATATGACTGTTTCATACTATTTTATTGCCACTAAAAGGGGCTTCATTCTTCCATTGTGAGTTTTGTCTGAATAAATTTCTTATATGAGAGCGTACAGCACTCGTAGAGAGATGCCGACAAGCAGTCTGGAGAGATCACTTTTGTACTTGCTGATAAAGGCTCTTTCAGCTGCCTTTGTGTGGAACAGCTGTGACATCTAATGACTAGTTAGATCTATCCTCGGTGAGTATGCTGTGTGGATATTCCAGAGGATATATCCCTATACTCTCCTCTCTGTATTTAATAGGAGTCGTCTAAATAGAATCAGAGAGCAGCCAAAGGCTGGGGGCTAGTGCATCCCTTGATGTAATCAACATTTATTTCAGCAGTTTTGTTCTGCTATCAAAGGCTGCTGTGTTTTCTGCATAGTGAGCTAAAGCATTGAAAATTCACTTTTGAGGGATCAAAAGTAGATTATTAAGCTTGCTTTTATGTAAGATGTGTACAGCAAATGGAATCAGAAAAAAAAGTCAAATTTGTAACACAGTTCTGAGCAAAAGTATCTTTGAGATCTCTTATGAGAGCATGTGTTTTCATTGTGTTCTTTATTCATGTAAAACAAAGAGGCTAGATTAATTAATTGCTGATGGAAAAAGACAGGGGGGTTATCAAAAACTATCTCAAGGTTGGTCATTTAGAGGGTGTATTTCTAGGCCCCTGCTTTCACAGCAGAAGACTCAAGAGACTCCTATTAAAGGCCATGGGAATGTCTTTGTGGGATTTTCACAGTAGCAATGAGAGGGTAGCCTGACATTCCTGAAACTCCCACTGCCATTCCTGTGCTGGAGCATCTCAAGCCAGCGCTTCAGATGCTGTGTGTGCCCGTCGTGTCCCCGAGGGCTGGCGGGGCGCGCGAGCACCGGGCTGGGGGTACCAGCTGAGCTCTGCTCAGGGTATCAGGGGCTCCACACTAGGACAGGTGTTCAGGTTATTTGTCAGCATAACAACCATCTTGTATCGATCCAAAGAGCCCAATTAAAAATGGAGTAGCGTGAGAAGCTTGTTATGTATCTGTAATATAGGAAATCAAATATCTTTTATGGCCTTGAGCAGAAACAAAATCCAAGCTATTTTCATAAATTAAGTTTTGTTTGAATGTATTATATGTATTGTTCTCCTGGAAACTAAATGTGAATTTGAATGTTTATTTTGTTTTTTCTCTTGTTACTAATTTGCTCTCATTTGACTCCATGCTTCCTTTTAAATTTCCTCTCAAGGTATGCGCTCTTCCTGTTTACTTGCTTTTGAAATCACCATCTGACTTTGTTTTGACAATTGAGTTATAATCCTGTTGTTCCAGATCTGCGTTGCTCCTCTCATTTGTTAGCACCCTAATTCACTTTAAAATAATGCCATACAATTGAGGTGATTTGGAAAACTATATTAAGCTAAAGCATTAATTGATAGTTTTTAATTACATAATTGCACATGTGGACAGGTATGGCTTGCATCAGAAACAGTGGTGCTGGTATTAAAAGCTTGATTGCGTTTTCTATAATTATTTTCTGAGTAATAGAAAAACATTTCTGTGGTTTGCAGTATAAACCAAACAGCACTCTCTGATTACCAGCCCAGTGTACCTGTACTAACCCTTTTTCTCCCTCTACGCCAGCCCCTGCAGTGGGTATAAGGAGTCTTCGTTTGAGCAGATGGACGGGGGGAACTGGGGTTCTTTGGTCAAGGAGGCTGCCAGGCCATGCTTGTTCATGTTCTTGTTCTTCATCTCTCTGTCTGTCTTTCCTTCAGTGTCAACTTTGTGGTTTATTTGATTTTTCTTTTGCCTCATCCTGTGACACCAAGTGACAGCTCTGTCAGCCCAGATGCTCCGTAGTAGCTGCTGTTTAATCCTTCTTTATGTGCTCGTTGGAAGACTCCGGGAGAAACAACTCTAGTGACATCCAGTTTTCTTTGAAATGACCTCAATTTTTCTGAGAACAGCCCTGGTCCCCATCTAGCAAGACCCCTCTCTTGCACGTAGGACCCTCGGGGAAGTGCCTTTTTCGTCAGGGGATCCCCCTGTTCCCATCTTCTCCTGCCTCTCAGGTGGTGTTTGTCCTGTATCTGTCTGACTTAGTTCGTGCAGGTTACCAGACCTCTGGGGTGAGGTATTTTTACCTTTCTCAGTGTGTAGGATGCTGTCTGAACATGCAGCCTGGCACAAACCTTTTATTGTTGCAATAATGGGAGCTTGAGGTTTCACTGGTTTGGAAAACGCTTCTCTTCTGCACATCTCCATCCTAGCAACCCATCTGTCCTACCAACAGAAGGGGCAGCTACCAATGCAAGTAAGAGATTTCCTATGGGAAACTGTAGGGAAAATGAACACATACTATTTAATTCCAAATGCTTCCACTGAATTTATCAGAACACTCTGATAAGTCTTTTTTTCCTCTTCCTATTTCAAGACTTGCCTTAAAGCAAAGAGGGCCATGGGAACCTGGAAACTCCAGACAGAACTTGTCCTGCAGTAGGGGAGTAGATGTTTGATCTGCTGGACCTGCTAGCCAAACCCCTCCTCCATCTGTCTCTGAAATTGTCCACATCATTGCAGGGAGGAGAAGTTCAACTCCAGGTCTTCTCTGAAGATGGAAAGTGTGTAGTGAAGAAAGGAGCTCAAGGAGGATGAATTTCACCTGACACAGCCATCTGAAAGCAATAGACTGTAGGTTTAGTGAGGCATCTTTGTTCCCTCCGAAGTTATGAGACAGATGGACAACTTTAGATTTATCCCACACTACAGCAAGTGAGATAAATCTCTTTCTGAGGTGTCAGGCTCTTCTCTTTTTCTTTGCTGGCTCCAAAGGTAGCCTTATGTGACAAGTTCAGCAGGCGCTGATTTGTAGTTGGAGAAAATTGTGTCAGCCCAAATAAGAGGGTATCAAGCTTTACCAAATAGCTAAAGCCAAAACCCTACCTGTTAAGGAAGCTGGCCAAAAAGGCCTGCAGCCCTCTCTGAAATCCCACGCACATGGTACCTACAAAGAAAGCAGAGTAAGGTAGATAGATTCCTTGACTGCAGGCATTATTCTATATTTATATTGCTGCAAATTCTCTTTGCAGCAACTCAGTAGCCTTGTGTTAGTGAGCACAATGGCTCCACAGCCCAAGCTGAAACTTAGAAGCCTCTTACCTTCTTGGGAGGCCATCAAGACAGGCAGGGAGGCCTCCTCCACCTGTGGGTGATCTGGTGGATGTGTGCCTACTCTGAAGAACCAGCCTTCATCTGCCCTCTCAGTGGGAGCTGCTGCTTTAGCTCCTTGGGCAAAGGAGAGTGGAGAACAGTGGTGCTTCACCTTTCTCCACATTCCTCTCCCATATTCCACATTGAGCTCTCTGTTTTTATTGTGTTGGTGATTTTGTCTTTGTTATGATCTTTAATGTTGGATGGATACATTTTTTCATTTCTTTTTTTTTTCTCAATAATTTAATGGCATTTTTTAATGGCTCAGGCAATCTCAGGCTCTGGCCAAGACTGGGCAGTTTACCAGCAAACCCCCCTGTGTGGGTGGGGTGGGGCACATCACAAGACTTTTGGTTTTGCCTATCTCCATCTGTTGGTAGGACAACTTGTACCCACTGTCTGGGGATGGCACTGAGGGGTTTGAAGGAAACAAATAAACAGGTAAGAGTTTTCTATTTCTTCTCTTCACACAAACTGAGGACTGCAGCACCCAGGTTCCACAGATGTTTCTGAGATTGATTCTTCCTCCATTGGTATCAGTACAGCTAAGGGAAAACATGAAATAGCTTTGTCTCAGCAGTTGAAATGATTCTTGGTCAACATGCTGTATTTGAAGAACAAGCAATGTACATGGCAATGAAATTCCCCACCCAGCTGAGTGTAGTGTCACTGCCACCCTTCAGCACAGATCCAATACTTTGAGGTTGATGTTCAGTTGCTGTAAAGCATCAAGAGCTCTTGCTGACAAGATCCAGACCTTCTGACCATTAGGCATTTTGTAATTACATGCTTGCAAATAGGCTTTTTCTTAAGTCCTTATGGAATCCCTTTAAAAAAAAAAAAATCAAAGACTGCAACAAAAACTAAACACAGGATTTTTTTCTATTTCCTTCTCTGTTGCTCTGGTGCTTATAAAGCAGGGATATGCTTGACTTGGAACAGTGCAACATGCAAATTTTAATTAACATAAAACATAAACCAAACCAGCCTCTCTTCTCACTTCAGTATGCAAATTCAGTTTGTAATTCCTGCTAGGTTGTGATGAGAGAAGGATACTGAATCATTTTTGGTGCATTCTTTTGCATGTTTACTCATCAAGATTCCTTTTTGCAGTTTACTGTACATTACATTTTGGGAGTGGATGCAGTAAAAGGTGCATTGGTGCCCTCTAAGCTGGGCAAAGAGACATGATGCTGGCATATCCCAGCATGTCCAGCACTGGGAAAGGCTGGGCACACAGAGACAAGAGAAATCTTCTGGGAAAAGCCTTCTCCAAGCAAAGGATTTGTGGAAGTCAGGAGAGCTTGTTCCTCTCCTCAAACGAATTATCTTGTAATTTACTGTTCTTGTTTTCACTGAAAGACTACAAAAAGAGTTGCACTAGGTAAGACCAGGTGTGCACTGATTTTTCACTCCTGAGGGAGGTTATCAGGAGATGGCTCACAGTCCACCTGTTCACAGATACCTGGAAGATCTGGACAAAAGGGTTGTGCATGTGAACTTCTCTTCAGTGAAGAAAGAAAAAAATCAAGGATTGTCTTCAAAGCAATTTAATGATATGTGTTTTTCCATAGATCTCTCTCAGGGCGAATTGTCGGAGGAGTCTGGTGGTTCTTCACTCTCATCATTATCTCTTCCTACACTGCTAATCTCGCTGCCTTCCTTACGGTGGAAAGGATGGTTTCACCCATAGAGAGTGCAGAGGACCTGGCTAAACAAACTGAAATAGCCTATGGCACTTTGGATTCAGGCTCAACCAAAGAATTCTTTAGAGTAAGTCTGTTAAATCTCCCTTAAGTGCCTAGTTAATGGATTTCAGAGGTTTGATTTTATGAAGCTGTAATAGCCATCCTATGCTTTGTGCAATCAGGATAGGCCTGAGTGCAGATTTTAATACCAAAAGGCATTTTATCAAAAATGGGTGGTTTTGTTTAACCTGAAACATCTCAAGATGGAAAACTCAACCTCTGCTGTCACGGGAAGGGTTTTGTAACACCAGTTTCAGAGCCTTGGTCTGATGAGCAATAATGCAGTGGTTGGCACAATATTTAGCAGAGAAAACTCTTGCAAGGAGTGATGCTCTTGACCTACTTGCTGTGTGTGCCCAGCTGGCAGCCAGTAATGCCATCCGACGTCGGTGCTCACTTGCCAGAATGAAGGGGGATGGGAGGCCGATGTGCTGCTCATCCCTGGTGGAGCAATGATTGCTGCCATTGCTGTGTCTTCACTGCTCACCAGCATCTGGCTGTGGCTGTATCTGACAGTCAGGTAAAAATTTTGTACCCCAGAACTCTGGTTGTTTTTCACTTTGGTTAGGGAGATGCAGCAACATTTGGGGGTAGGGGCAGGTGCACACTTCTATTTAAGATCCTTCTTCCTTTCTCCTCTTGCCAAGCCACAGGCTGAACTGCATTAGAAACTCTAAATATGATCTCAGTCCACTTTTATGTCTCTGAAAACGTCGTCCTGAAAAGCTCTTATTTCTTTCCAAGGGTGAACTGGAATGCTCAGGCCTTTCAGGGAGCTCTTGGTTCTCTCTCAGCAGTGCCAATCAGATGCCATTCAAACTAACATTTTTTGTATAGAAGAGTGGTCAGTGCTGCAGGACTAATTACTGCCTGTCATGCATACTGGACAGGTGCAAGCAGGAGAGAGGAGGGAGACAAAAACCCCTTGCTGCTGTAGGCTGATGAAAAACTGAGGGCTCCTTGGAGAAATACTCAGAGCTCCTTGAATTTACTTAAAATTTCAATGCATGACACAGACATCTGATGTAAACCTGGAAGGGAATGCAAAGGTATTTTATGCAGCTTTTGCACTCTGCCTGTAATGTCTTTATATCAAAAGAGATACTCAGTGGTTCTTAATTAACTGTGGTAGCAGGTACATTACAGCAGCTTCTGTTTGTTTTAAAATCCTGTGAGATAAACACTGACCTTGTAAGGGTGACATTAGTATATAAAAAATTTTATTCTGCTTAATTATCAACCCAAAGCAGTATTATGTCTACAACAAAAACGAGTTGAATGAACCTGTCAAGAGAGGTAGCACAACTTGTTCAGAAATATTGGTGCTGTTTATAGTCACTGTACTGATCTTAGGGGGAAAAATGCCTTCTTTTGACTATCTTGTTGCAGTTCATATAGAAAGAGGAATTGTATGGGGATGTTCCTTCATTTCCTTAATAGTTTGACACAACAAGGAAACCCCTTCTCACAGAGAGATCAAAGGAATGAGTGTTTCATGTGAAAGGATACAAAGTCTGGTAAATGTATGAATGCTTTGTTGTGCTGCTAATAATCTTGAGATGAGCTGTGTCTCTCTGCTGGTGCTGGGAAAAGCAGGGTTGTAAATGAGCTGATCTGTCAGGAGCTGCCAGTTCCATCAGGCCAGGACAGGAGTTGGACGGGGATGGACAAGAGCAGAGCCCCAGCAGTGTGGAGCAAGGCTGTATGGGCCAAGTGGGAAGAAGAATGAGCCCTAAGTGTGCTTCTCTCTCTTTGGCATTCTCAAGGCACACAACACAATTTCAGTTGTATTAACTTTTGCAGAGTAATTAATTTGAATAGAGTGATGCATCCATGAAAGCGTTGTAATTAGAGTCTTCTTCAGTTGATTTGAAAAGGGCAAAAGCTTTGCCTTAGAACAAATGCGTATGTACAGTCGTTGTTAGTTACTTAATAAGACAGTAAAGGTGGCTGAAACTTCAAATAACATAGAAGACTCTTGCTTTCCAAGGTCCTGCAGCACAGACTGCACCTCTCTGTGTTTTAGGGTACTTGTTCTCCCTTGGCATCTCTTTCCATTCTGCTGCCAAAGGCAGCAGTGGAAATGACAGTGCTCCGAGTTGGAAAAAGCCATGAGTTCTCTTGAGTGCAGGGTGACACTTATCCCCTGTGTAAGGGAAATATCCTCCACCTATTTTGCTAGTTTAAACAGCAGTTAGCTGAGTGGCTCATGATAATTTACTCAGTGAGAAGAGAATTTGGCTTTATAACTGGGCCATGGCTTCATACAGGAGGTTCAGGACAGTCTCTCCAAGATCCCATTAAGAAGCTTGTATGGGTAAATCTCTTTCTAGAGCTGTAGGACTAAAATGTTTCTCAAAGATATTAGTCAGATCCTGATCATAATCGCTGCTGTTGGTCAGTGGAAGGTGCCAGACTGACAGTAGAAAGGAAAAATTGCCTCCTGATGCATCATAAAGGGATAACATGTGAGTGAGCTTCAGATCCCCACCATCTTGTCTGCATGTGCTGGAAGGAGCTTCTCCAGGCCATGGCTCCCTTCTGCCAGCCCCATTTCCAGACAGCATCACTTTTGAAGGTTTTTTTTACAGTATGAATACCTGAAACTGGACTGATACCAGCCTCTCAATTCAGATGAACAGATGGTAATGACTTTGAGCCACTTCAGACCTGGGCAGACTCCAGCTCCTGACCTATTTTCCAGCCTTGGCGGTTTCCCTGAGCATGGCAGTGTCTCCCGGGTAGAGCTGTCCCAGCTCTGGGGGTAAGCTGGGTACACCACTGCTGCCTGAGGCTTGCACAGCGGCTGCTTTGGCGTGACACTGCTCTCACAGTCCCAACACTGCTCTCACAATGCCAACACTGCTCTCACAGTTCCAACACTGCTCTCACAATTCCAACCAGAGCTGGTATTTTATAACAGTTTCACAGCAGACACTGTTTACACTCCTCACTTGTTGGTGATTCTCTGCATAAGGGCATTTGTCCTCCTAGTATATCTAAGATTCTGAGGAACCCTCCTGTATTCTCATGGTTGTTGCTTGTTTCTGCTCAGAAACATCTTACATTTTGCACTAATTAGCTTCTAAAGGCATTTAAATGGCAATCAATAGATTACATCAATTCCTTTTTGGCTTTCAAAGAGCACTCATCCATATTGAAAAGGAAAAGAAAGAACCTCTCCTGAGATATTTATTAACACGTGGACTCAGATTAAGGACTCCAAAATTCCTCTTTCTCTTTCTTGAAGGTTGGTGAAGGCCTGAATGAGAAAGAAGTTTCAAATCCCTAAGCTATTTTTAAGGGTGTATCTGTAAGAATTAACATCTTCTAATACATTCCATTAAAGCTTCAGCATATCTGAGCAGCTTATCAAATCAATATAATGCCATTTAATCCAAATTTAGCACTGAGCCTAAGTATAATACCACACTCTAATACTTCACCTCCAATATGCATATATTCAGAAGCCATGACCTTTACAATCAATTAGTGATTCTTATCTTAACTTGGCTGTATTTAAACTTCAGCAGGACATGTTTGTAGACATTTAGACATATAAATTACCCTTGAATTTATGGTTGTTTATTTTAATTGATAGCAGATATCTCTGTTAAGAGGCATCTGCAAAATACCTTGCCAAGTGTATGTTTGATCATTGACAAACACAGCTGACCTGCTAGTACACTTCACTGAGAACTTATGTAGTTAATCACGGTTCACAAAATTAAGGAGAACAGAAGATCTCCAATGAATGTTACTTTATTGTAGAAATTTTTCTTTCTTTTGTAGAAATATTTCTCAGCACAAGTTTAAGGATGTCCCCAAACAAACAACTCAGCTACTAAGTGGCTCTCCCATGCCTCAGGTGGAATGACTTGCCCTGAAGTCAGTTCCTGATTTGTCCTCCTGGAAATGTCATTAATTGCCAGATTTGTTAGGAATTTCAGTAGAAATATTGAAGGTCCTTTGGGCATGATGGTTGTTCCAGCTCTTACAGTTTGTTTTCCTCAAAAAGTGATTCCTTGCAAACCAAGTTCAGATGTGAGTCCTTTCTGGAGTTTGTCTATACATAAGATATGTACAAACCCAGAGTTTTTAAGACACAGGAAGTCGTGCTAAGGATGGCCCTTAATATGTTTCCCATTTTGAAACTATTCTGAAATCAGGATAGTTCATCAGGGACAGATAGAAAAGCATGAGATGCACTGGCAAGAGGCTTTGCATTTCTGGTTGCCCATACTGAGGAGAGGAGCATGCAAACAGCTACCAGAAAAAGCAGTAAGTGGAAAGGGGATTGGTGAGGTATCTCTTGAAAAGAAACTTTAGTACCAAATTGTTTAGCTGGTAAAACTAAAGGTAATGTAGAAAACAATTCATTGGGAAGCAAAGAAAAAAAACACCAGGCAAATTGACAGAACATTTATCTGAAAGAACAGTGAAAGAACAAACTCAAAATACTATTGAAATTAGAAGAAAACATTCCTTTAACCCATCAAAAGAAATGCCTTCAGCTAAAAGCACATGGGGTAGCTCAGACTCCCCTCCTGTTCAGTCGAGCCGTGTGTTGGGCTGTGTGAGGAGGGGCCGTGGTGGCACCAGTGGGTCCCTGCTGGCTCGAAACAGCCAAGTGCCACTTGCATCCCCAGCTGGCAGCATGCAGAGAGGGTTCCCCATTCAGGTGCCTCTGACAGTGGCAGGTAAGGCCAATGCCAGTCAGGCATCCAAGGAGGAGCACAGCTCCATGCCAGAGCCTCAGGAGAGAGCGAGGAATTATGACCGCAATGCGTTTGGAAGCAGCAGTGTGTTACACCCCGCTATAAGTTAAAGAGCTCATTGCTTTCCTCTGATGATAAGGTTGTGTGAAGATGAGAGGGAAATAAATTCCACGAGCAAGCAGCTGAGGTAAGGAGAAGCCTTGAGTTATACATGCCTAGCTGCCGTATGATTTTTATGCATTCTGTGCAATCAAGCGATATTGAGATCATCATTAGAGGCTATTAAAAACACCATTGTGAACTCTGT